CAAAGTAGTTTCGCTTTCACAACGAAACACAGCGTCTTCACGACATGGCGGCAACAACAATACTACAGCGAGAATAAAAGTTACGCCTTCTTTCTTTGTGTGAACATTTGGGCGGCATTATGCAAATCTTCCCACATCGTGACGTAGACATGTGGGGGCGTGTTAGAACGAGCCGTTTTAGGTAGGCGTGGTTGACTCTTAACTTTTATAAAGAATATCTCTTTGGATTTGAGACTTTAGTCTTTGCAACTTTACAGATCTTCTTTATGCACCAAGAGCTTGTAACACTTTGAAAAATTGAAATCGCATCATATGAGCCCTTTAATATTACCCAATGAGACATACTGACTACTTTTTATGGTGTTTATTTTTGTTGTCAGGTTTGGATATAACACAAATAAATAATGACAGAATTTGCACTTCTTGGGTGAACTAAGTAATGCTGGATGTTTGTATAATCTATTATCTGTGTACGGGGCTCACAGCAAACTGTGACTAATCAATATTTCCACACCATGGAGAACTCTAATTTGTGTAACTTAGCTGGCATCAGCTCAGTCGGACACACAAAACACCCCACCAAACTCTTGACTTTGTCATTAGCTGCTACCACTGGCAACATCTGTACATGAACCCAGGAAACAATCTGATCATTTTGCAGACAAATCAACAGGTGAAATGAGATATTATGGCCTTGATATAAAATGACCTGCATTTCTAAGCTCAGGTGGAAAAAATACATACATACTTGAGCTTCAGAACACTTCAGTTAGAGTCAAGTTACAGCTGGGGAACAGGATTTGAATGTACTGATGATCAAATTTAGTTGTAGATTTCCAACTAGTATATCTGAACTACAGTGATGTATATGTTTTTGTCTGGAGAAGGCATTGGTCTCATCCGTCGCTACACAAATTACTCAAGTGCATTTTGTGCAACACACATCTATCAGGATAATATTTTTACTGTGTTCGGCTAATGTTAGGATTGCTGCTTGAATACTCAATCATGGGCAATGTTCTCTCAAGCTGTAGGTGGTTGCTTGCCGTAATTGAAAGCGTGTGTTGGTGAAGTGTTCTGGAAGGTCCAGTATATTACCATGCACGGCGTGGTCCCTCACTCTGTTTCATTTCCCATTCAAAGACAGCGATTAATCTGATTAGTGATCTATCAGCTGAAAGTTCTGCCTCTCGGCTCTAATGGTCAATGCCAGGGCCTGGTCTGAATTATTAACAGATCCATTCCTGGAGACCAGGGACAATTCATCACCAAAACAGAGAGGCAGAATGAAAGAGAGATGGGGTGAGTGAAGACTGAAAAAAAAAATGTAAGTAGGACGCTTGCACATAGATTTGCAATAAAAAATTAAAACAATTTTTTTGTGTGTGTGTGTGTGTAGCAGTAAAGAAACAGCAGGTACAGAGTAGGATATGGTTGCGTGCATGTTTTAGATTTTAAGGAATGGTTCACCCAAGGATGAAAATTCTGACATCATTTATTCACCCCCGGAAATGTTGAAGAATGTAATGGCAGATATTTTCCATATAATGAAAGTGAAATAAAAAAGTGGTTCATATTACGGATTTGTGTGTTATAATTGGACTGTAATCATACCTTTGTTTTCAATTTTCTCTTTAAGAAATACTGCAGTTCATCTATCATTATTTATGTAATGAACGGACTGAAATGTAATGTTATTCATTGAAAATCTTCCCTTCCACTGTGTAACTCTAAAATCAAATTTGGCCTCAATGACATTTCTTTTTGGTAAAAAGAAACACCATTTTTGTAGTCCATATGACTTTTGTAGTCCACTCTTTAGACTTTTGTAGAATTTTTGTGCAAACCGTTCCTTTAAGATAAAGAAATTAATAAAGCATTTCTAAACGTCACACAAGGTTACATAAACTCGTTTAATCTCAAAAAGTTCAGTACATTTTAAAATGTAATCTACATAGCCCTCTTGAGTAATGCCAGCAGATGACTCCTTCCAAACAAAACCATAATCCTCAATGTCCTCAACCCTAAATCTAACCAATAATCATAAACCTATACAGATCTCTACTAATAACCATAAACCTAATCTTAGCCTATTAAGACTGTGCTTCTAAATCTCATGTTTCCTAAATGGAATATGATCACATATTCCTTTCTACATCTAATCTTGATCCTAAGCCTAATTCTGGTCAGCAGTGTCTCGCTGAGGGCATTTACAACAACAGCAACTCTGTTTGTGTGTAGACCAGCCCACTTTCAGGACACTAATCACATTGTAGAACATAAACAGCTGACATTCAGCTGAGATTTATTTATTACAAAAATGCAAACAAACAATTTACTGGGTTAGTATAGATCCAATGGTGATTTAAAGGGACAGTTTACTCCCCAAAAATAAAATCCTCTTATGTTTTCGCGCTCATGTCTTTTTAAAAACCAATATAAACTTATATGGACTATTTTTATGATCTTGTTAGAGTGTGTGTGTGTGTGTGTGTGTGTGTGTGTGTGTGTGTTGGAGAAGACATCAGGTTTGTAATGACATGAGGCTAAGAATTTTCATTTTCAATTAGTTCATTTTTGAGTGAACTGTCCCTTTAAGACCACCCTTTGCATAAGATATAACAGGTGCAACTATGTCACAATAAAGAGAGAACACTTGAGAAATGCGTAATAGAATTTGGATGGTAATGTTAGAATTGGATTCTTTCAAGATGCAGTACAGCTCAGATAGTGTCATGACCATTAGATCACTGACCCCGAGTTAGTCAGCGATAGGGAATGCTGGGACCACAGTAAGAAATCACAGCGCACACACAAATACCATGATTAAATGTGTAATTTAGCCAAAAGGGGACGTACCAGCATCATAGAGTTTCTACATTGTTGTCTTTTTTATCCTTGAGTTCATATTTCCAAACCGAAACACACTCTAACCACAGTGCGTATTGATTTTTTTGCAGTGTAACGTCATGCTTGGGTAGTTACATTAGCTTCATTTCAAATGAACTGTGTTTGATGGATTTGCTCATTCACAGAGCCAATGACATCCACCGGACCAAACAAGAATGAACTATGGTTCACCCTCCACAGTGTGAGGCATAAACACAGGATACAGTGAGTGTGTGTGTGTGTATAAATCTCATTCAGCTTTTGCAGAAGCTGAAAAATATCAGCGTTGGGGAAGTTACAAGGCATTCATAATTACTACAGGTAATTCACATCACAAATCGGGCAATACATTATTACAGCCATGCTAAAATATTCAATATTAGCTATGATGCTAAATGCCTGTTCATTTAGCTGCCATGTATATTACTGCACTGCACTCATACACTCAAAACTATTGCTGAAGAAAATTTTCACTCAGAAATTACTAACTTTAAAAAAGAAATGACAAGTAACACTTTGAATTAAACATGTCATTTGGAAGTAGAAAGACTGAAATAGTATTTTCTTGTAAAAACCTACTCCAATAATCTTTGTTTTACAACTTCAAAAATCAGTTTTTACAGTGTAGATGTTAACTTTTAGCCGTAGCACTGGGTATGTTTGCATATCAGGCGTATTCTAGCTTTTAAAATATTTTATGAATGAAGATGTGTTTTTATTATTTAACTGTTATAGAAGCAATAAGGCACTTAAGGTTGTGCTATATTTTGAATTTTGAATCTCACAATTTAAATTTTCTTTTTATTTATTGACTTTTTTTCACATAATTGTGACTGCATACAACCTTATTTCACATTGCGACGTTTTATCTCATTATGATTTTTTTTCTCTTACAATATTAGCTTTATTTATGCTAAATTGTTACATTATCTTGTGTTCATTAGCTTGTCTAATAAGTTAACTCAACAGCTAGCTACAGTGTTTAATTGCTAACTACCCTGAAGAGAGAAATATTAATTGCCTATGATGAGAAAAATCGAGCTGTGTGCGTGCTATGCTGATGATGACATTTACGCAACGTACTGTATCCTGGCATACATGTAAAAAATGACAAATACTTTACTGGAAAAGTAGCTAAGTTAGCAATGTCACTAATTCAAGTTGATTACTTGCCAATACTGCTAGACGACTAGACAGATGACACTGGTATTTTCTGGAAAAGAGATCTGTGTGTCTTTCTCTGTGGTTTGTTTTGTTACTCCTGTCCTCTGTAGCGTAATATAAATGGTTGAGTTCAGACACAAGTTTCAGGCTTGTGAGCAATGACTGTTCCCCCCTCCCTCACCGATCAACCCCCCGGCTGGGACATGGGGGGTGTGAGTGATGGAAAGAGGAGGGTGAGAGGGTTAAATGCCTGAGCTACATGCGATAACTCACTAGCGGTTCGCAGGGTTAACTGCGGTCAGAATGTGATAGCCTTGCACGAATGTATTCCGGGAAATCCAGCCAGTCGCCCCCCCCAACCTCAACAGGGGTTTTAAAAGATGCAGGAGTATGGAATACCACAGTCGGTTAATTGAATCCGTGATTCACAGAATTGTACCGTTTTCTGTTTTAGTGCTGCACAGCTGTATAAGACCCCTCTATTAAAATTTAATGTTCCTCTATCGAAGGAACCACACCACATGAGGTTAATGAATGAATAGATTGATGCATATAGAAATGCATAGAGTTGCAGTATGTCTTGTGTATTAAACACAAATTGCCGCCGAGATTTTCTTGCCATTTTTTGACAGAAGCGGGTTAATGAATGGAAAGTTGCTGTTGCTTTCGTTTTTCCACACACAGATGGGAGTTCAGCTCCCCAGCAGAAACATCTGGTCCTGTTTAGAGTTATGCCTTGTGTGTTTATGAGAGAGCGTTAGAGGGATTTTTTCCTGAGCGGTGGTGAATTCTGAATCTTCCTCGGTCACGGGTCACCGGCCGGTTCACATTTCCTGCCAACATGAGTCACCTACAAACCAGCAGTTATTAGTCTACAAATCTCCAACACAGCCAGATCCAAATATATTTGTTACTTTTGTCTGTTTCTTTTTTTCTCTTTTTCACAGGATCTCGAGTGAGAATCTCTTTGGTCTTGCCATCGTGTTGCCATCTACCCTCTTGAACACCAGTGAGAGACAAAGCTTTTCCACCACTGCTCCTCTCCTGAAAGGATAACAGTGAGTTTTGAATTAGTCTCCCTCTATTTACAGTGATTCAGGTTTCCTGCCTGTCATCATAGACACGCCAGTTCGTGTTTCCTCTCTTCGTCATGGCAGACAAAATCAATTGTAGACGCAGCAGTTTACAGAGACGCAGCATCAGTTTGAGATCAGCAGAATTAACAGACGCGGATCGACCTGTCAGATCTGATGCAACCCACTCTAGTTGGATTGCGTTCACGGATTGCGTCGTTAAGGAAACGTGACTGATGGGCACTTGAGATACAGAGAGATATCTGCGCTCATCCAGTTTACTACATTAGCCCATTGTTTTAGAGGAACTAAGGTTGGACGATACGTCAGTATACAGTATATCAGTAGCAACTGGTAGAGATTCTGCTATGCCGTTTACATCACAGTATAAATAGGAACATTTTGTAAGATTTTGTAGGCACAATATGTAAGATTTTCATAATAAAATATCCAAAAACCACTTGCACAGTGTGATATATTTCATGCAGTTGTGTACTTACGTTATCCCAAAAGTTCCCAAGGATTTGTAAATCCTTTGTAAAATAAATTTTAATTTTAAATAATGGCTCGTCCTGGTTCATTGTCGCCTATCAAAGATGTAATATCTGCGCTATCCGTTTCCGCTTTTAGAAACTATGCAACACACATGGACAAAAATGCTCCTGTGCAGTTAAATTAAATCCATTACGGCTGTCACGAATAAAATGAAAATGAAATGAAAAGTGTTGACTGCAGCCTTAAATTTAGATCTGCTTAATGTTGCACCATGATTCTTTTTCCACGTTTTTACAGTGTTGCGCATTATAACCAATCACACACGAGTCTGTTGAGCTTATGAATGCGACAGCCAATCAGAGGCGTTCAGATGAGTCATCGCTGAAACACCGGAGTTTTGTTGTTCAGTGCGCACGCTCGCTGACTGAATTCTGCTCTCTTGCGAATTCCCTCATCATAAACAACAAAGTGCAGATGTGCGTATGATGTAAGTAGGAGATTCATTCATCAAACAGTGTATAGACAGCTTTGATTATAAGGGGAGTTTTTTGAGAGTGCTTAAACTCACACTAGACTTAAGTCAGTCATACTGTTCCTTGACAACGTAAATGTTCTTTGCTTGCTTTCTCTGTATAATTTATTCACTGTTCGAATAACTATGGAAAATTCAGGTAATAAAAAAAAAATTTATTAATTACATCCGTGAACATGATTCGGACATCTCTGGATGGTAAAAACGACATCTCCCATCATTCCACTCTTCTTCATAGCATAGTGGGTCATACCACCCACCCCGTAAAGAAACGTATAATGGGTGTTTGGCGTGCAATGAAACGACCTTTGTTTTTTCTGGTTAAACACTTGGCTCTGACTAAAACTGACATGCCCTCACATCATTTGAGCCGCACCATTGTTCATTTACTCGTTCTGTCTTTCACTTCCCTGCTGCTGACCTCTGAGCAGAAACAACAGTGTAAGCACTCTCATTCTAGATTTCTCTCTATTCTTCCCTTTTGTCCTGGAAACCACATTTTCATCCAAAGGTCATTGATGGCCACAGAGAATCACTCGGAGCGGTATTCAGTCAAATTGCATCACACTGTTTATCCCGAAGGTTCTCAGTGTGTTGTGGATGACCTGGTATAGAGCTGAGCCCTGCAGGTCTGGAAGTGTGCCAATGGAAAGGCCCATACCAACTTTGTGAAAGCTTAAAAATGTAGATGTTTTTTGTGCTCTGATGGGAATCCCAAAGTGAAATGAGAAAGAGACGGGTTTTATGTAGTTTAGTTTAATCAAATTCTTGTGCATGCATACTTTAAGTATATGCAAAAAGAAGGTTATATTATTTTGAAGTCAACATGAAATCAAAACCCTCTTTACTTTAAATTCCTGGGCATTTTGTATATAATTCATTTGACATGTTATTCAAAGGCAAAAATGTTTGTTTTTATAGTCCTTAATCAAAATATAATCATTTTCTCTGCCACTAGAGTAACTTTATGCTGACGTCATCAAGGCCACTAGCATTTTCAACCAATGGGTACCGGAAGTAGTGTAGGAGGAAAGTGGTCATCCACAATTGCTTTCTGGCTCAATTTCGGTATGGAAAACCCCCTTTTAATAATCCAATCAATTACAGATTGGTAAAATCAGATCCTACCTGATGTTTCTCATTGAATATCTCGTAAATACGTCACATTACAGAAGTCAAATGGGTTTGTGAATTTGCTGAATTTATTTGTTTCATGTTGACTTTAAAGCTGAAACCTGTTGGCAGAGAATGTAAAATCCTCCAACATGTCTTGCAATGATTACATGTTACATGAGTGGGTGGTATTTCGCTGACAGGATGCATTAGCGTTTACACTATATATACATGACCACATGTGTTGGCGAACTCCTCCAAATGTGTTCAGTGAACCGATTGCGCAAGATGCGTTGGACCCCTCTATTTAGAGCTGCACACTAGAGATGGATGTTAAAATCAGGTGTGAATGGGGCCTAAGAGATGAATCTCTTTCACTCCTCTTCATATCTGGCACCACACATTCAAACATACAGTAAGTGTGATTTTCTGCTATGTGAGAAGTGTGCCTTTTTTTTTTTGCTGTGAGGAAAAGAGAGCAGATTCTCTGACTCTTTGGCCTTCTGACTTCATGACTCTGGCCGTCTAATACTCTCACTCTCCACCACAACGGGGCTACAATGGATAGAAAAATCTCACCCAGCGAATAGGAAATTTCAGAGCAGTCATCTGGAACAGCACTTTAGGCTTGAATACATTGATTGGACAGTCTGTATGCCATTTAAAGTCAAATATTCTCTCTTGTTTTCTATGACTGAAAAACCCTGTTATAAATATTTGGCTTGGAGTGATAATGCATAACTGGAATAATTTGAGATTTAACATTTACTTATAGGGATAGTTCACCCAAAAATGAATATTCTGTGAACCATCCCTGCATACTAGGGCTGCACGATAAATCGCATGCGATATTTAATGCACATCTTATCAGTAAAGCCGGTTCTGTAATCAGCGGTAAATCTCCATCACCTGCGGGCTTTCACATTGAGCAGCATTAACTATCGCATGCGATTTATCGTGCAGCCCTACTGCATACTATGCTCTGGTACATACAGTAGGATTCAAGCAAACTCTATGTCGGCTACACAAACCTAATCATCTGATTGGTTCCTCTACACTCCGACAGGGTAGCACTTGGCTGCGCAGGAAAAGCTTGGGGTTAAATTTCCATTTTCACCAGCAGATTGGCACCCAGGAATCACTTCCTGGTTCCTAACCACCAGCGTCTAGTTATTTTTTGGTGTATTTATGCGTGTGCGTTCGTCGCCCGGGGCCTGTTTGAGTTCTGAGCTTCAGTGCCCTGAGACTAACAGGCAGGAGGATGCAGATGGCTCCAAGGAGGGGTGACCCTGTAGCAGAACTCTGACTCTTGACAGAATTATATCCTCCAGAGTCACACACGTCTTGCTTCTGTAATCCTAATAGATACCCAAACAACTCACACACACACACACACACACACACACACACACACACACAATCTGATATGATGTACAATAATGGGAGAGTGTAATCTCCACAGCTCTATTGGTCTAATCTCTGTGCCTCTGCTTTATGCTTTCTGTCAGGTAGACAAAGTTGTCAGTCAGGTTGGCAAAGCCATTTTCGGTTGTCAATAGGACAGAGGGGGAGTGTTGAGCGTCTCAATAGATATTTGCCGTACTTTTGTAATCCACATTTCTGCTCCTCCTCCTGTCTTGTCACAACAACTAGTGATGGGCAACCACTGGATTATACTCAGTCACTTTGACACAGTGCATTTTATAATGCAGACTTAAAATATAATAATATAGACCGTACTGTGCAAATCCACACTGGCTGAGAGTGAAGTTAGTAACTGAGCTTATAAAAGATTTTAAAAGATGTTGGATTTGATACAGCTATAGACTTTAGTCAAAGTAAATGCCATATTCAATTTGATTAACAAATTGGTTACATTTAGATTAATCACAAATGAAGATTCAATTTTCTCTTTGGTGGATTAATGTGAGGAATAATATGGAGTTCTAGTAAAAACATAAGCCCCGTTTCCACCGCAGGAACTTTACCCAGGAACTAGGGACTTTGGGCCGGTACTCTGTGTGTTTCCACCGCAGGAACCAGGATCTAAATAAAGTTCCGGGTAAAAAATTGCCCCTCAGAAAGTCCCTGCAGCGAGGTAGTACTTTTTCAAAGATCTGGAACTTTAGGGGGCGGGACTTGGGCGCTGAGCATGCTGATTGGTTGAGTTCACTCAGCATTGTATTTCAGCCACCATTTATTCGGATAATTTTCAAAATATTACTGTTATTGTGTCATGAAATGTAGTTTTAAAAGTATTTCAGGCCAGAATGCAGTTGTTTAAAACAAAAATCTGCTGTTTATTTATAAAGAGAGCGCCTACTTGAAAATGTGCTTTGCCGATTTCGGTGACGTGAGCTCCACGCGATCAGCGGGCGCTCAGTGCTCATGTTTCCGCGGTCGTTCAGCGCTCATAAACCCGAGGAGGGAGCGCCTCATGTCGGCCAGATCTTCTGGAATCTGCCGCTGGCTCTGATGTCTCTGTAGTGGTTAAACATGAGATATATTTCGTTTTGGGTAAATCTAACAGGTAATCTTTGGTCTTTATTCTATTAATCTATTAATATGTTAAGATGAAAATAAAAAGAGGCAATACTGTTTGATATAATATTTAGTTTCTTTGTAATGTAGGCTATATACATTCCCTGAACTAGGCTACATTTCTGCGGCTATTAATATGTTTAAATGAAAACGAAAGGAGGCAGTGGTGTTTGATATCATATTTAAGTGAGGAAAATTGCAGTAGCCAAGGCGAGCTGACTGACGTTATCAAGTATGCTGCTGTTTGCAGAATTACCAGACTTGCGTCGTCCCGTCCACGGGAGTTCACACTCCCGAGTCGAAC